TATACAAATATCTGTTTATTTGGAAATGGCACGCAAGAATTCTCAACATGCCATTTCTCGCTTCTGACATCATAATCTAATATGGCCTAAAGTTCCTATAATAAGAGTTAGGACACCGTTATAGCTTTGTCTTAAGGCCATTGCACGTAATAAAGATTTAGTTTTAATCATAAGGCCGTAAGAAAATAGACCAATCACACTCGATTATTTTTCAAGCGCGAGAAGAATAATCGCCCGTGATTCTTACGGCCTTACGATTACAACTAAAACATTGTTACGTGCAATGGCCTTTACTTCCACTAACTTCTTGGCTGAAGCATATGGCGACCATGATAGCTTTGTCTTACTCCCACTTATAGCTTATCTCACTCCCACTAACTTGGCTGAAATATATGGCGAAACCAATAAAAAATCGTCACCACATTGGCTTAACTGTTATTATAGGAACTCTAATATGGCCGCGGCGTATACTTAAGAGCCTTAACATGCATTACTTAATATTATTTTTATTTTAGGCAATTTAGAACGGAAAAAAATTATAGAAACCATTAGGAGGAAAGGAAATTTCATACACAATACAGATCCTTCTGTAAATACGGGGGCGTTAGTTGTTTGTCGAAGGCCTGCCAAGAATAGTCGTAAAACAGTACGAGACTTTACCTGTTGTGCAAAATGTAAAGGATGGTTTACTAAAAATAATATTAGGCATCATTTTAAACAATGTGCAAATGTATCCAAAGGCAGAAATGTACAAATTCTGGGACGTGCTGTAATGGGAATAATCCATGAATGCGCAAGTGAGACAGTAAGAAAAGTTTTATTCCCAGTTTTGAGGGAAGATGATGTTACACGATGTATTAGATACGATAAATTACTAATAACATACGCAAACAAACTATGTATCAAGTACAGTCATCAACATCAACAAGATATGATACGTGCTCGACTTCGATTATTAGGACGGTTTCTTATCACATTAAAAGAGATTAACCCTAACATAAAAGAGTTTTCGGATATATACGATCCTACGATATATGATGACTGTCTTAAAACAGTAAATAAAGTAGCTGATTTTGATTATGTTAATAAAAAATATGGTGCACCATCAGTTGCATCAAATATTGGAACATATTTAAAACACGTTGGTAACTTATTCATAACAAAATGTATAAAAACAAATAATATAATAAAGCAAAGTAGCACAGAAAATTTTTTAAAAATATTAAATGAAGATTATGGGACATCTATAAACAAAATAGTAGAAGAAAATGTGACACAATATAAAAGACAGAAAAAAGTTACACTTCCATCTATGGAGGATATAAAAATGCTACACTCATATCTGAAGAGTGAAAGAAGATTATTATATACTAATCTTAAAAAAAAAATCACGTACAAAACATGGCAAGAGCTTGCAAAAGTTACACTTACATCTATGCGAGTTTTCAATAGGAGAAGAGCAGGAGAAATTGAACGTGTTACTATAGAAGATTTTAATGCTCGCAAAGGCATAACAAGGGAAACTTGTTTAGATTTATATAAATCATTAGGTTCAAATTTACAACAGGTATAAAATATTTTTTCTGTTGATGTATAAACAAAAAGACCTTGCACGGGTCTTATGAAAATTGGATTTTGGTGAAATTGGTTGAAACTTCGGACATAGACGATTTATGTGATGCTGATCGAAGCCACAATGGGCAAAATTTACAATAATAGATCATTTAGGCACCAGCAGTGTTTAAAAGTCAAAATAAGTTGTTATTTCAGTATTATATTGTGGATTACAATGCATTATTCTGCAGAAACATATAACTTATTCTTTTTATTAATACAAAAATATGTATTTATGTGAAAAAATACATATTTTTGTATTAATAAAAAGAATAAGTTGTATGGTTCTGCAGAATAATACATTGTAATCCACTGTTCTATAATATAGTAGTAAAATAATACTTTATTTTGACTTTTAAACTCTGATAGCGCCTAAACAGTCTACTATTGTAAATCTTGCCCATTGTGGCTTTGATCAGCATCACATGAACCATCTATTTTAGAAGTTTTAGTCAATTCCACCGAAATCCAATTTCCACCGTGCGGGGTCTTTTAATTGTATTTTTATGATTGATTATATTGTATATAATTTAACAAAATAATTTTATAATTTTTGTATATAGGTTGCTGATAAATATGTGAGATTCTTAATTCGCGGGAAATTAGGACGCACAGTGCCTGTAATTTTAGACACAGAATTAGTTCAATGTATTGAACTAATTTTGAAGCATCGAAAAGATGCGAATGTTCTTGAAAAGAATCCCTATGTGTTCGGCATACGTAGTAGCAGTAAGCGCAGTTTCAAATATTTAAGGGCATGTGTCCTTATGCGATATTTCTCTCAAAAATGTGGTGCACAGATACCACATGCATTAAGGGGCACTGAATTACGCAAGCATATTGCTACAACTTGCATTACGTTGAATTTATCTGAAAATGAAGTGGATGATTTGGCGAACTTTATGGGACACCACGAAAAGATTCATAAACGTCATTATCGGCAGTCGATACCAGCAGTGGAGATCATCCGCATGACGAAGTTTCTTGAAGCAGCATTAGGTGAAAATGTGTTACAAAAGTCCAATAGTAATGATTCAGGTATATATATGCACTACTTGTGTGTTTTATTATTTTATATACATTTCTCCGAGTTTCTCTTATAAAATATATTAAGAAGGTTTGATAGCTTCATCGTGGGGAGTAGTGAGCCGCGGGGGTTCTGGAAAAGCGCACTAGCGTTTGAAGTAGTGGAAATGAAGGGGATTGCTCTGATTGGTCGCCGCGTGTATAGTGCGTGCTGCTGTTCACGTCGTTCACAACCGTGGCAGTCTAGCAGACGAAAAATCAAGCACTTTATGCTTTAATAATTAAATTTTTCTACGAAATGTGCGGTAACTTTCCCCTTTCTTTCGCTCATTTATTTGTAAATTATTAAGTTACATGTGCATTTTTTTTCTTTATCATTTGCATTTTTTCTTGCACTTATTTTATTCTGAAGGTATGCAATATATGTCATTTCCCATAAGAACCTATATTAAAAATGCAGCGTTTCATGAAATTTTAATATGATGTTCTGGAATGCAAAATAGAATTATGTAAATTTTTGGGAATTTTTCACCGTCCCGTTTTGAAAAAAATCTCCAAAAATTGTACTTTTTAAATTTTTGGAGTAGATTTTTTTTAAAACGGGACGGTGAAAATTCCCCAAAAATTCATATAATTCTATTTTGCATTCCAGAACAACATATTATATTAAAATTTCATGAAACTGGCTGAACTGGTATGTAGCCACTGAACCTCTTTAACTATTGTACACTTCTTTTTATTTTTGTGTATTTTTATTATATGTATTTACATAACAATTATTATAATATTGTATTATGTATTATGATAATAGACGAAGCAATACAAGGTGCAAGTAAAGACACGTCCTCGAGTGAAGAATCAGAAAACGATGCTGAAACATTCATGTGAACCTTCCTCAGAACAATCAAGAAGAAACTTTCTTGAAACTTCTATAACAGATAGTCAACAAAGGTCTGTAAACAGAAAGAAAATTACGCGTCAAAATCGTGCAAATGTGAATAACGACGATTCGTATACAATTTGTTCTTCAGGAATGAAGAAACGTCGCAGTAGTAAGTTTATTTTCATTTTTATTATATATTTTATATAGTTTTCATAAATTTATCAAATAACGGTGTATTTCCTTAAATATTATTTAATATCGTTTTCTTAGTTATGTCTAAACATATAGGGTGTCCTGTTTTAAACAATCCAATATCTTGAAAACTGAGCTCGACGAACAAAAATGTTTCAGATTATATTATTTCAAAGGGGACATCTTATAATAAGCACGTTTTATTCCTAAATGAAAGCACTTCCGATATTTCAAAATGACCTTTTTTAAATAAAACTTCATATTTTTAGGTATACTAATTGATACAATTTTTCCTTCTCTACAAAAACCTATTATAAATATATACTTAAAAATTATTAATTTAAAAATGATTTTATACTTTATACTTACATATTTTGTTAGAAAATAGTAAAGATTTTGTAAAATATTCATTTTTTGATTATTTTAACTTAATAGTTTTAAGTACAGAATAATAAGATCAATCGGTGTAAAGAAAACATTACAAAAATATCTAATTTAAAGATTTTTTAAAAAGAAACTGTATATTTTCTTTATATTAATTTGTCTTTTTATTCTATACTTAAAATTATTAAGATAAGATCATAAAAAAATAAATATTTTATAAAATATTTTACATTTTAAATTAAAATATGTATGTCAGTGTAAAGTATAAAATAACTTCTAAATTAACAATTTTTATGTATACGTTAATAATAGTTTTTTATAGAGAAGAAAAATTTACATCGATTAGTACACCTAAAAATATTCATTTATAGAGATTTATTTATAAACAAACATCACCTTGAAATTTTGAAAGTATTCTACCTAAAAAAAATGTACTTAAATATTAGAAATGTTCCTCTCGAAACGATATAAGATTTAGCTAAAATATTTTTGCCTGCTAAGCTCAGTTTTTGAGATATTCGGCTGTACTTAAAAATAAGAACTTAAAAAAATTACTCGACCCCACTGGCTATCACTTCTTTATTCTTCCTCTTCACAACGTTTTGGCTTCAATCAGGCCCTTTTCAAGTGAGATGTTATACATTATACATCAAGCAACAACCAAATCACGCGTCGCCAGACGCCGCGTCCAAACCACATCGTGCGCACGCCAAAAATAATTGTTGCATCGACGGAGTGAGATTGTAAAACTCGCGATTATCGCTAGCGTAACCGTGATGCAACAAGTCGAGTAATTGTAGCCATATAGAGTAGTGTGTGAGTATATAATATAGAACCGTATATGAAGAGACGGAAACACCGAACTTGTCTAGATATTTCGCGACCGTCACCATGACAAGTTCGGTGTTTCCGTCTCTTTATATACAGTTCTATTATATACTCACACACTACGTTACATGGCTTTGTGATATTCGTGTTCTCCTGACTGTCGGGTGAGTTTAATTATATCATGCAATATTTGACTTGAATTGTAAAGAAACATTTATTACAGATATCAATCTGACAATTAATGTCGGTTTGGATCTTTGAATTCTAAACTCACTCAACAGGAATGGAGAACGGGAGTAATTAATTTATCTTTCTTGCTGAAGATAGCTCAATCCCGAGCCGAAACGTACGAATGTATATTATTCTGAGAATAAATCAGTGATTCCGATCTTTTACGCACCGATAACTGCGTCTGACTCTCATAGCCATTCTTTTATCATTTAAATTTTCGAGAGTCTCAACTTATTATTTATTTTAATATACATTATAATAAA